TGGATCTGCACAAAGATCCGTGCAGCCACACCACCCCACACAGAAGAATGCAGGACCCGCAAGCAGGTGACATTAATTCTAATGGCACGCCACCCGCACTGGAAATTGCAACTGCACTGGGAACCTTGGTTCCCGTGAGGGCTGTGGTTTCCAAAGAATAGCAGGGAGTTCTTCCCTGCATGTCCCGGGGCATGGGAGTCCATTCAAATGAATGGGCTCTTGTGCCTATGCAAAACGCGACCCTCAGGAATGCACATATGTGAACCAGGGCTTAAGCTCCATGCATACGGGGTGTTTTGATAACGCTGGTAACGTTAGCTGTGTAAAGTCACGTTAAAAACGTGAATTTTTCAGCTTTTTTTTTAGAGTTTTTGCATTAGCGTTAGCTGTGTTTTGCCACATTTAGCAGCGTTTTCCCACTTTTTTTTACCAAAAAAATTAAATTTTTTTGGTCAAAAGAAGTCCAAAAATGCTGGTTTGCGACATTTTACCACAATTCACCTCTCTTTGCTGCATTTTTCAGCATTAGAGCGGTTTTACAGCTAAAGAACTTCTCTAGAAATCCACTAGTTCTGTTTTTTTTTTCCAGTCAAAAAACGTCCCATCCAAAAAATGTTGATTACAGTCTATGTGTGCATAGACCATGTGATAACATGCTGGGGAGTTTACTGGCTGTAGAAAAAAACATTAAAAAAAAGTCAAAAGCCAAAAACAGCAGCTGTAAAAACATCCAGTGTGCGTGAGGACTAAGGCAAAAGAAGCCTAAATAATGAAAATGAATGAACATTGCAAGAAGACCTAGCAATCTGAAATATATTATGTTTTGCAATTTACCAGTCCTTAGATGTGGTGGGTGCATTCATTTTCTTTTTAGGGGCTTTTTCCCCACATGGTGATCTAAAGCCTAATGCAGGCCATAGACGGGGAGAAAACCGGCTGGTTTTTTAACAAAAAAAAAAAAAATTGGTCGTTCAATAGGCCGATGTTACCACCAACAGTAGAAAAAAATGGCTGATTTTCTTCCCGTCTACGGCCGGCATTTAATTACTTCTGTCCCTGCACAGAGCCCCGCTATTATATTTGACATGAAAAAGTATTGCGGTTGCAACAATGTATCTATTTGTATCCATTTCGGATACAGATGGTTTTTTTCGGATACAAATAGATACATTGTTGCAACCGCAATACTTTTTCATGTGAAATATAATAGCGGACTGGAATTCTTCTTCTTCTTCTTTCCCTCTTCTTCTTTCTCTTCTTCTTTCTTTCTCTTCTTCTTTTTCTCTTCTTCTTCTTCTCTTTTCTTTTTCTTCTTATTTTTTTCTTATTCTTATTCTTCTTTTTCTTCTTCTTCTTCTTCTTTCTCTTGCAGGTCATGGCTCATGCGCAGATTTTTTATCGGTAAAAAGATCGGCCGACTTGCCGCGAAAATCGGCCGTTTGGCAAAATCGCCCGATTTTTTTTTCCAACTTTACCGATCAAAAAAAAAAATCTGACAAAATCCAGAAAAACGGCCGACCAATTAACCCATTAATGGTGCGAAAATCAGTCGATTTTTTTTCGGCCGATTTTCGACCCATCTATGGCCTGCATGAGGCTCCATGTACACGGGACACTTCTGAACGATGGAAACTGACTGCTGGAAAATGTAGGTTAAAAAACGTCTGTTTAGCCGCATTTGTCATACTGCATTTATGAACGTTTGCGTTTAGAAGCATTTTATAAAGATAACCTCAGGAGACCTTCCAAAATGCCCAGAATGCACTGAAAAACAGTAAAAAATTAGCTATTTCAGACATTTTGAGAGAAATAGAGAGAGCAGAAGCAAAGACAGCAGTGTTTGTTGAGATTAGCTGTCTTTTTTTTTTGTGGTGTTTGGATGTGTTCCAGCTCATTTCTGTGCAGAAATTATTGCAGCAGTGTCTAACATATTTTATTTCATGCAAAACCTCAAAGTATGGTGTACCAGGTCCATTTGAGTACCAGGAAAACGCTTAGCATGCATTTTTCATGATGAAAAAAGGCTCTGGACAGCATCTGGAAATGGAAGAGTTAAAAAACAATTTCAAATACAAACGCTTATAAACGCGGTTAGCCGCATTTAGCAGAGTTTACAAGCGTTTAACTTTTAAAACACTGATAAAATCTACTGCTGAACGAAAGTTTTCTGTGTTTAAAAAAAGACTGTAAACTCAACTGCCTGTAAACGACTGTAAACGAAGATGTGTACATGGACACATAGGAAAACATTAGGGTGAGTTCAGGGGCTGCTGAAAAAAAACGCTGAACAGCTCCTAAACTTGAGTTTATCAGCTGCAGTGTATATGAGCCCTAATTCCAGCAAATACTTTTAAAACAGCTACAAAAACTGTTCATTTTCCTTTGGGGACAAAGCTTTTACATGAATAAATAAAAGCTGACAATTGTTAAGTACCCCTGTCGGTGTTAAATGGTTTGTTTCAACCTTGTAACTGCCATTTTTGCTGAACAGCTTGGTCTGCTAAAGTTGAAAACTAGCAGACAAAGGCTATATTTACACATGTGACAGTGTTTGCTACCCCTCTGAAATGTGTTCTGTGGTGAATCACTTTTCAGAGGCATTTGATAGGCAGTAAAGAGGCAACATGTCACCTCCTCACTGCCTGTTTTTAACCATGTAAGTGCCACATCACTGTGTAGCAACTGCTTACATTACATGTAGTTTTCATACAGCCCCACTCACTTGTATGGGTCACTTTCAGTAGCAGTATAGCCTGCCAAATGCAACAAGGGTCATTTTTACCACAGCACATGTACAGGTCCATCTGGCTGCCTTTCAATTTATGCGGAGGAGGGGCACAGAGAAAACAACTCAACCCCTTGTTTTTACCTCCTCCCCCAACTGCAATGTAAATGAACCCCCACTGGCAGGATCAATAGGTAATAAAACTGTTACAGGGGTCTCATAAAAACAAAGACTGCTATTGTAACGAAAATGGAAACTGAAGCCCCACACCACTGCTAAGATCCAGCATAGTCAGTAAAAGTCAAGGGGGATATCCAATCCTCTTTATTGAAAAAAAGTTATATCTGAACATCTTAGCAGTGGTTTGGCACTTCAATTTCCATTTTTGTCACATTACATTACAAGCCAAGGAGAACCTCTGGGTGTAGAATCCATATTCTTTCCAGTATATAAAAACTTACAATATCTAGTGCTATTTTTACCACTTTCCTCTGTTTATGCTATTGAAACACTGCATCACATATGGCAGATATAGAAAAGAATCACCCCCTTTAACCACTCGCCTACAGGGCACTTAATTTTTTTGTGACAGATAGAGCTTTCTTTTGGTGGTATTTAATCACCTCTGGGTTTTTTATTTTTTCTTAAACAAACCAAAAACCACTGAAAATTTTGAAAAAAAAAAAACGTTTTTTCTTAGTTTTTGCTATAAAATTTTGTAAATAAGTGATTTTTCTCCTTCACTGATGTGCGCTAATGAGGCTGCAGTGATGGGCACTGATAGGCTGCACCAGGGGCGGACTGACAACTCATGGGGGCCCCAGGCAACAGGGGATCATTGGGCCCCTGTGTCCTTGCCCAAACTCAAAAAAGCCTATGAAAAAGGTACCAGGGGCATCTCATGGGGCCCCCTACTGACCCCGGGCCTTCGGGCAGTTCCCAAAGTTTCCAAATGGTCAGTCCACCCCTGGGCTGCACTGATGGACACTGATAGGTGGCACTGATGGGCACTGATGAGGAGGCACTGGTAGGTGGCATTGATGTGCATTGACAGGCATGACTGATGGGCACTGAAAAGCAGCATGGCTTCAACTACCACCTCTACGCCAATGACACGCAAATCTACCTCTCTACCCCTCACCTCACCCCTTCAGTCTCCGCCCGAATCACTTGCCTACTGAACAACATATCAGACTGGATGTCACTCCACTTCCTCAAATTAAACCTTTCCAAAACCGAGCTCCTACTTTTCCCATCAGCCCGCCCCCCCCACCCTCTCCATCACGACCAATAACGCCACCATCAGTCCCACCCCGCAAACCAAAGTCTTAGGTGTCACTCTAGACTCAAACCTGTTCTTCCTAACCCATGTCCAATCGCTGGCAAATTCATGCAGGCTCCACCTCCGCAACATCTCCAAAATACGTATGTTCCTAACCCCGTAAACTACTAAACAACTCGTTCACTCCCTTATTATCTCAGTACTCGACTACTGCAACTCCCTCTCACCAACCTACCTCATCACAGGCTATCCCCACTTCAGTCTATCCTGAACTCAGCGGCCAGACTCATCCACCTTACCGACCGCTCCACATCTGCCACCCCCCTCTGTCATTCCTTCCATTGGCTTCCGATTGCCCAACACATAAAATTCAAACTTCTAACACTGACATGCAAAGCCATTCATAATACTGCCCCATACTACCTCACCGACCTGATACCCAAATACCGCCCAACATGTACTCTTTGATCCTCACAAGACCTCCTACTTTCTAGCTCCCTGGTCTCCTCCTCCCATGCCCGACTACAGGACTTCTCCAGGACTTCCCCCATCCTCTGGAACTCACTACCCCAATCCATCAGACTGTCACCTACCCTCCTCACCTTTAGGCGCACCCTAAAAACCCATCTCTTCAGGGAAGCCTACCCCACCCTCACCTAACAGTCGGTCTCCTCCACTCCTCCTACCACTCCATCCCCCACAGTCACTTCCTTCTGTACCACTATCCCCTCCCTCCTAGATTGTAAGCTCGAAAGAGCAGGGCCCTCGAACCCCTCGTGTACTGTTTTGTTACTGTATTGTCTCATGTACTGTCCCCCACTATAATGTACAGCGCTGAGCAAACTTTTTGGTGCTATATAAATACTGTATAATAATAATATATGGCACTGATATATGGCACTGATAGGCAGAACTAACTGGCACTGATAGGCGGCACTGACTGGCACTGTTAGGTGGCACTGACTGGCACTGTTAGGCGGCACTGATAGGCAGCACTGATGGGCACTGATAGGTGGTACTGATGCACACTGATAGGCAGCACTGACTGGCACTGATAGGTGGCACTGATTGGCATTGATAGGTGGCACTGATGGGTGACACTGAAAGGCAGCTCAGATGGGCACTGATATGTGGCATTGATGTGCACTGGTAGGCACTGATATGTGGCACTGATGGGCACTGGCAGGTGGCATGGATGAGCACTGAGAGCTGGCACTGATGGACGCTGACAGGTGGCACAGCTGGGGCTACACAGATCATCAGGGCACACTGATCATCAGTGCCCTGATGATCAGTGTACATGTCCCCTCCGAAGAATGCCGATTACTGGCTCTCTCCTCTCCTCTCGAGCTGTCAGCGTGACAGTTCGTGAGGAGAGAAATGCCAATAACCGGCATTTCCCTGTTTACATGCGATCAGCTGTGATTGGACACAGCTGATCACATGACCGAGCCGACATCTTCTGCTCTTTCTGTGATCGGTGATCTGCTGTGTCCGAGGGACACAGCGCACCACCGATCCCCGTGCTGCGTGCTCCCGGAGCCGTGCATGCGTGGTGAGAATGGGAGGATGTTATATGACGTCCTCCCAGAATGAGAGAACCACCTTGTGCCCGTCATTGGACTATATGGCGGGCGGGAGGCGGTTAAAATAATCACATTTTGTTGCTTTGCAGCCTGAAAGGAAGACAGACATAGTTTTTGTTTTGTTCTAGCTGTATTTACTCATCGTATAACATATGAGTAAAAGATATAAGACCAAAAAATGTTTTTTGTAACCACTTCCCAACTGCGCTATAGACGAAGGACGGCTACAGTACGGTTGTCTAGTTCTGGGAGGACGTTTATGGAAATCCAATCCAGCTCACCATCCAAATAACACCATTCCTACAGTAAAGCATGGAGGTGGTAATATTCTGTTATAGGGTGTTTTTCTGCAGCAAGGACTGGAGCACTAGTCAGGATAGAAGAAAAAATGGATGGGGCAAAATACCATCAAATTTTTGAGGAAAATCTGCTGCCCTCTGCCAGAAAGTTGTCAAGGTTTACCTTCCAACATGATGGTGACCCAAAGCACACAGCAAAAATGACCACACAGTGGGTGAAGGAGAAAAAATGTGAATTTCCTTGCATGGCCTAGTTAGGGCCCAGACTGAGGGTTGGTTCACACCACATGCAGTCCAGTGCGTTTTCTTTTTCTGCATCAAAAATGCATGGACAATGTTTTCCATTTATTCCAATGGCCCTAGTTCACACCAGTACAGTCAGTTTCCAGTGCAGAAAAAAAGTAGAACATGCTGCATTTTTTTTTTGCACAGAACTGTACTGGAACACAGCAAAACGCATAAAAAACGCCCCGGAACTGAGTGTCGTGTAAACTGTGAGAAAATACATATCTGGAGTGCATTTCTGTAGTGTGAAATAGCCCTTCAACCCCATTGAAAATCTGTGGAATGACTTGAAGACTGCAGTCCACAAACGGTCACCATCAAATTTAACTGCACTTGACCAGTTGTGCAAAGAAGAGTGGAAAATATTGCAAAGACTAGATGTGCAAAGTTAAAGTGGAGCTCCGCCAAAAAGGGGAAATTCCACTTTAAGGACTGCTCCCCCACTCCCCATTAAGGATTGGCACCTTTGGGAGGCGGGGGGGAGCGGGTACCCGAATTTGACAGGTACCCGCTCCCACTTCCAGTCCGATCGCCTAGGGTGATTGGAAACGGAAGGTGTCCTCCCTCCCTGTAGTCTTTTGGGACAAATGACAGGTCCCAGAAGACTACAGGACCATTCATAAAGTGCATCGCTACCTGCACATGCGCAGTGGGTACCCGGCTGTGAAGCCGCAATCTGTCACAGCCGGGTGCCCACACTGAAGATGCCGGCCCCAAGGAATACAGGACGGCCGGTGAAACGGGCTGCGAGGGACACTCCGCGGGACCGAGAAACAGGTAAGTGACTGTTTTTTTTAAAGTCAGTAGCTACAGTTTCTGTAGCTGCTGACTTTTATTTTTTGACAGGGTGAGTGGAACTCCGCTTTAATACAGACATATCCCAACACACTAAAGGCTGGAATTAACCACTTGCCCTCCTGAGGATTTACCCCCCTTCCTGACCAGGCCATTTTTTGCATTACTTCAAGTGACAATTGTGCATCCAAATGGAATTTACATCCTTTTTTCCCACAAATTGAGCTTTCTTTTGGTGGTATTTGATTGCCTGTGCATTTTTTTATTTTTTTTTAAAAAAAAAGACTGACAATTTTGAGAAAAAAAAAACAATATTATTGACTTTTTGCTATTAGACATGTCCAGTAAAAAAATTAAAAAAATCATCACATTTCGTCATAAATTTAGGCCAAAATGTATTCTGCTACATGTCTTTGCTAAAAAAAATCCCAATACGTGCAAATTAATTGGTTGACGTGAAAGTTATAGCATTTACAAATGGCGGTATATATGCTGGAATTATTTATTTTTGACTAGTAATGGCAGTGATCAGCGTCAGGCATTCTGACACTGGGGGGGAACTGACACTGACATTCCCAGTGACACCAATACTGTGATCAGTGCTAAAAAAAAAGCTGTACTAATGGCACTGGGCAGGAAGGAGTTAGCATGAGGGGTGATCAAAGGGTTAATTGTGTGCAGGGAGCGTTTTACTAGGGGGCCGTGTCAGTGTGCTTCACTGTAATCACACTGCTCTGGATGGCTGTGTGTGCCTGAGCTGACAGGGAGGACTGTTAGTAAACAAAGCAGTCCTCCTCTCCATCGGAGATGCTCTGGGCACCGGCGGGTAATCACTGGCTGGGACCCGGTGGTTGACAGCCGCAGCAGCGAACGGCGGCGCGGGTAGGGTGCACACAACCCCTACCCAGAAATACAAATCACATATACATATGTGATTTTGCGCACCCCTGCCACCCTCTAGCAGTATGTCTGCTATAGAGCGGTCGGGAAACGATTGAAGCAAAAGGTGGTTCAACAAAATACTGAAACAAAGGGGTGATCCTTTTTACAACTCAATGATTCTGTTTTTGATTTTTTTTTTTAAATTTCTGACATGTTGGTGTTATATCTTCCACTTGGATGTTATAAATTGCACTGTAAATGGAGTAAATACAGCTGGATTAAACAAAAACGTAGTCTGTCTTCATTTCAGGCTGCAAAGCAACAAGGTGATTAATTTCTAGTGATGGGTCGAACTCCCCCCCGTTTGGTTCACGGTCGAACACTCGAATCTAACGGAAGTTCGACCATGAACTTTGAACCAGAACAATTCACTAAGCGGTATCTTACCGCATCCAGGTATGCAGTAAGATGCCGCACAGCTACTAAAATACCAAGTTATATTAAGTCATGTGGTATTTTAGTAGTGAAACATTCTTTAATGTTTCAGCTGTCAGCTGGGTTCCCAACTGACAGCTGAATGTAAAAAGAATTGCCAGCAATTAAATTTTTTTTTTTTTTTAAAACGGCAGGGGGTACCCCCACATCCATTCGAAGCCCTTTGAGTCTGGTATGAATTTTGAGGGGAACCCCCACACCAATTTTTTTTTACATGGCCTGGGGGTACCCCCCAAAATCCATACCAGATCCTTATTCGAGTATGCAACCCAGCAGGTCTGGAAAGGGGGGGGGGGGCAAGCGAGCGCACCCCGAACCATAACAGGTCACATACCCTCAACACGGAGGGGGGGTGCTTTGGGGCAGGGGAGCTGCCCCCCAAAAGCACCTTGTTCCCATGTTGATGGGGACAAGGGCCTCTTCCCCACAACCATGGCCTGTGGTTGTGGGGGTCTGTGGGCAGGGGGCTTATAGGAATCTGGAAGCCCCCCCTATGTGAATGAGTATGGGGTACATGGTATCACTATTCATTCACAAAAAAATAAAAGTGTAGTGTAAAAAAATGACAAAGACAGTCTTCTATTAAAAACAAAAAATGTCCCCAAAGTATATCCAACATCAATCACGATGCCCGCTGCCACTGCTGACACTTAAAAAATAAAAACCGCTCTGCTCTCGACATCGCCCAGCTACCCCAGCCTGACAGTTGTTAAATACTGTGATGACATCACAAGGGGGGCGGTTCATTGCTTTGGCCAATCACAAAGCACTGTCAGGGCACAGCGCATTGTGGGGTGCGGCAGGTGAATAGCCCGCTGAACGCCCATACTGTTTGTGTGTTCACCGAACACACAAATGGCCGATGTTCAACATCAAGGCCCACCATATTCTTCTCTATACCCACCGTATGCGATTTTTAATTTCATTTCCATTTTAAGCTGTAATATACCTCTAATATGGATGAATAGGCAGCACATGAGATTCAATTTACTATATATAATGTGTTTTGGGAGATACATTTTCTGAAGTGGAACCTATGACAGATCGAAGATCTGGGAAGGTCGAGTCTTAAGTGCCTGCATCCCATTAGACATAGCTGCTTGGCTAACAATTTAGCACCTGACTCTCATTTTCAGTTGAAAGGCGTTGGGATGGGTGGGTATAGAGCTACAGTATGCAGACAAGCATCAGACACACCCAGAACTAGAAGCATTGCATTCTGAAGATTCTACAGGCACATCTAGTTCCGAGAGTGAATCTTACCTGTAATGGAGCCAGTAATGATAAAACTACCCTGCCACATTAGGTTTATGTTATCCTGCATGAGCAAAGTGACCACGTCTTACTTGAAGATCCTTTTTATTTTCTGTGCATTTGACCTATACATTTGTGTTGGCTCCACTGCAGTCTCTTCCACACAAGCACAGTATAGGTAAAGCCAGGGCCGTGGTTAAGGGGTACCACCAGTCCTCCTGGGGTGAAACGGATGTGGGCAGGGAGGGTGAGAAGCACACGGGGGGGGGGGGGGAGCAATTACAGGAACCAATTCTCCTCCCTCCCCTTCTCTGGTTTTCAGCTGCTACAGAGAGACATACATACAATCAGTTCCAGTAATTTACCAGCCCCTTCCTTTCATGTATGAACACAATGAGTGATCAGTACCAATATCTCACTGTATTCATTCATAAGTGAAGCATAGTAAACTTTTTTTTGTGGGGATGGGGGAGCCCTGTTAGGTTGGCTGTATGGGGCCCTGTGGTTTGGCAGTAGGGGGTCTTGTCAGGTTGGCTGTAAGGGGCCCCATGGTTTCCAACAGCAGCCCTGGCTGGAGCACATGTTGGGTGTGCTTGTGCTATGCTACCACACATCACCTGGGTTCAATAGAGCTAAAACTCACCAAAGCTCCTAATGCAGCAATCTTTTGTTTAATTTCATCATGTCCGTGGTTTAAAGCTCACCCTGGGTAACAATCATCCTCCAAAATAATCCCATTATTCAGGTTGGAGAGTTGCTTTTCTGTGAAGTGCATGGAGGCTGTGGTCCATAGGCACAGGTAGCCTTCTTGAATATTTGGAAGATTCACATCAGACCTGATGGGTGCGATTGTGGTCAAGAACTATTTTGATCTATTATGAAAGTGCTGGGTATGAAAATGGGCATG